AACTGGTATGCTGAAACCGATGGATGCGTGAGGAAAACGGCCTCTACCATTCCTTCTCGATCTCAGTATGGAGATCGGGAAGGAAAGGAAGGCTCACCTGAGCTGGAGGGTTATGGCCAGAAAGATACACGGAAGCAGCTCCAGGCGGATGACATATGAGGTCAGCGCTGCGCATGCGCCGGTGAGTCTCGTGAAAACCAACGTTTGTTTACAGAAGCAAAGGAAGCAAAGTTTCCATACTTGAGCAAAGGAAAATCAGTCTCCTCTTGGCTTATATCGAAATCCTCCGACATTCTTCTTTACAAATCCTCGATTTGTACTTCTAATAAGTGACCGTTGTTTTGTTTTGATCTCTCCGCTGCGTTTCCGCGTGCGTCACTTCTGAGCAGCGCATGCGCAACGCCGACTTCCTACGTCATCCGCCCGGAGCTGCTTCCGTGTACAACAGTGAGAGCAAGCTAGATTAAATTGAATATTACGTTTTAAATATGGTTATTTTTCTTACAAAAACGCATCGATTCGCTACAGGAGGCCTTTGTTCACCCCCCGCAGCCATGTGAGGCACTTTTTTATTATGAATGGATGCACTTTATTTCACTTCTTTTGGACTGATGAACTGCAACACCCGCTGACTGCCATTAAACAGCTTGGAAGATCAAAGACTTTTTTAATTTAAAATAATTTTTAATATAACTCCGACTGGATTCGTCTGAAAGAAGAAAGTCATATGCACCTAGGATGCCTTGAGGTTGAGTAAATCATGGGCTAATTTTCATTTTTGGGTGAACTAACCCTTTAAGCATGGTAAAAATCACTGCAATTTGCCGTCTGAAGTGACTTGCATTGTATTTCAGTACAAAAGGACACTGTTATTTTCAGTCACTGTCTCGCTCCTCAACTCTTGTTAAAGGTCTAAATTTACACAGGATTTGGTTGCCTGCGGAGATCAGACTGTTATGTGCATCATCGTCTCAGGTTTGTTTGTGTACCTGTCAGCGCTACCAGGTGAGGCAGACAGAGACGGTTTGCAAGAACAATGAGTTCCATGGCATCCAGATCTGGGCGAGAGCAGAAGCAGCCAGCATAGAGATACTCCAGCACAGCACGCATGCAGCTCCGCGTAGTGTTTGGAAACAGCACCTGACAAAACACAGCAACAAACTCAAAGAGGCTTTTTCAGGGGAATAAGAACTCAGTGTTAAAGAACAGTATGATTAGAGTATGCTGTCTTCATTAGTAAAGTTCAACTTTAAGCTTATGTTAACATTCTGACATACAATGGGGTCCAAAAGTATTGCATAAGCACTTCATGTTTTCAGTGTCTTAAGTATTTGTTTTGTCCTACTTGACAGCAGAAATCAAGCAGCATGAAATCCACAAGTTAAATATAAAACCCAATGTTTAAATTTTTCACCATGATCTAAAGAGCATCTTGAGCTTCAGTGGAAGCTCAAGCAAGAATATCTGACCATCACGTCACAAAACTACTTATTTGGTTAGTGCCTTAGAAATTGTGCAAAATCTGAAATATACAGTATTTATTTTACTCATTTAATTATTTTTTTAAATCCTAAAAGTTCCAGTTTTTTACAGGTTCAAATCTCAATTTTTAAATCTCAAATTTTCATTGTGGTCTTAGATATTTGGGCCCCACTATATATGATGGGAATACTCATTTGTATTGATTTTTCATACATGGTAAACTTATTTATTATTTCAGATTGCTAGATATAGCATTAGAAATGAAGGTTTAAAACTAGATCAAGACCAGATGTTAAGAGGAATTTTCTATTTGTCTCTCAAAAATAATGTTACTTCGTTCTAAGAATAAAAGTCAATAGATTGTTCAACACAGTATAATTTTAGTATCACTGAAATACTATTATAGTTTTTAATAAAAACATTAATTTTATTCCTATTTTTTATTTTTAGTCTTATTTTCTATTGTAATTTTAATTTTGGTTAGTTAATTTTATTGTGTTTTGTTATTTGTATTTATTTATTTTTAGTTTTTATTCAGTTTTATTTAAGTTATTTTAGTATCATTTTAGTATCAAGCTAAACTAAACGAAAATGAGAAATGTTACCTTGGCATCAAGCTCAAATAAAATAAGTTTTAGGGTTTCTTTTTATTTTATTTATTATTGCTTTAGTTTTAGTTAATTATTATAACCCTGGTTCAACATCATCACTTGTGTCACAAATGTCCTATCATCTCTACTTGCTCCAGATATTACTAAATTAAATCACCCGCTTAGTTATTTATCTCCTTCTATTCTTTCCAATTTGAATACATAGAAATCACAGATGTTCATCAGGTTCCTGTCAAAAACTACATTAGTTCATGTTAGACAAACTGTGAAATTGTACACAGTGTGACCATTAAAATACACACCACAAATATAATCTTTAAAATCTCAGTGTTCCCAGTGGTACTGGTTTAGACATATTGTGAGCGCACTGTACCTCTTTTGTACAACTCTCCACAAATGGTCCACCAAACATGGCTGCCATCCAATCACAGCTTGAGATAAGCAGTGGTTTATGGGCCATGATGGTGCCATCATCCAACCTGAACACCACATCTGCAGGAAAGAACAGACAAACTTCTGTAGCTTTTCAAATCACTATTATGATAATACGTTGTATAACATGCCATATAAACTAATTCTACTCTCTGGTAAATCAACATACGTAGCGAATCCGATGCTGAAATTAAGTGATCATCTTGACACCTTAAAAGGCACTCTGTGACAGTGGCTTGACATTACATTCCACTAAAGCACAATCATAGTGCTAGAGTGAAGGATAAATAAATAGAAATGCTCAGTGTTTATGTTTGGAGAGGGAAAAGCTCGGTCAGCATTGCAAGACAGCTTGATGTCCTCCAAATCCTGAGAGTGCTGAAAAACATGATACATCCGCAACGGTTCTCTCTACCAGAAGAGCACGGATTATGAAACCGAAATCCAGCTGACAAAATATGGGGGCTTGTTTTTTTCTCCGGGGGTGAATAATTGAGCTGAAGTAGAGGGGAAAATAGCTTGAAGGGACATTCTGCTGGAGCTCATCTCACATTTGAGAAAAATTAGCTTTGGTTATAAACAATGCTGGGCGAACTTCTGCTAGAATGTGCACTGTATGCCCAACGTGTGCAGATATCAAAAAGTTAGCTTTTTAATATACAGCTGACAGTATTATTCTACACAGCACAGAAAGGTTGGGGTGACAAATAGGGACATTTACAGGAAAAGGGCGAAAGGACTGCAAAATGAGTCCAATCGGTTGTCTGAACCCTGTTGAAAAATCCAGCATATGCTGGTTAGGTATGTTTTGAAGCATGGCTCCTGGTTTGAGTTGGTTTAAGCTGGTTCTTAGCTGGTCATGTGCTGGTCCTAAGCTGGTCCTGAGCAGGAGCTAGTTGCTTAGGACCAGCACATGACCAGCTAAGAACCAGCTTAAACCAACTCAAACCAGTAGCCATGCTTCAAAACATACCTAACCAGCATATGCTGTTTTTTTCAACAGGGAATGCTATGCGCAGTTAAGTGTAACTGACACATATACAAATAAATAAGGTAAGTTCTATTTGTACCGTTCCAGTTGGGATTTAAACCGACATCTCAGGAATGGGAGGCGTGTGAGCTAACAAGCACGCTAAATTCCGTTACATTTACCCCCCTAAAGTTCATTCCCATCAGGGTCACGGCACCAATGTAACCCTTCCTGTTCTACTCAAACCACTCCAAGCGGGATTCAAACAGGCGTTTCCTGCATGGGAGGCAGCGCAGTAACAAGGATGTTAAAACTGTCCTCCATTATAGTAAACATGCTAACATAATGCACAATTCTAATCACAGTTCTTAAAAACAAACAGAGACCTACATATTTTTTAAGACTGGGTGATATATTGAATGTTCATTATACATTTGTGATCATTTTGCTGCATCATGAATATTGCGAAATTTTTAAAGTGCTCCTATTATGCCATTTCGAATATTGCCTTTCATGCATTCTGTAATGTAGCTGTACAGGAATGTAAACAATCTGCCAAAGTTGTAAAGCCGAAGGTGCACAATAAATAAAACTGTCTCCCAAAAGAAAGAATCGACTCTGAACAGCCTAAACGAGTCGTCAGTAATTCCAAACCCACTTCCGTGACGACTACACGTCACGGGGTAACACAATTGCATTGTTCTACGTTGACCCACGCTCAAACACTGTAGCTGGTTTGTGTGTTTAACATCATGTCGAGAAGATGCTGTATCCTATGCTGTGAAGGTAAATTTGTTTTATTTTCACTTCCGAAAGATGAGGGTGTAAAGAATCAGTGGTTAAAATTCATTTTTCCCACTCTACTACAGCAGTACAACCCTAATCTTTATTTGTGTTCCAGTCATTTTATTGACTACTGCTTCTCTAATCTCTGGGAGTTCAACACAGGATTCACAAAACGCTTGCTTTTGAAAGATGGCTCAGTACCCAGTTTATTTGGACCAGTTGGCTCCAATAAATCTCAAACTGTAAGTATGATGAATAATAGATGTTCATGTTTTCTATTGAGTGTTCAAAATATGGAGCTATGGCAATGGGCATATAATTTCCGACACACGATTTACGTGGTAGACCAATCACAACAGACTGGGCTGTCTGACCAATCAGAGCAGAGTAGGAATCTTAGAACTGCTTTGAATGAATAGTTTGAGAATCGTTAGAAAAAGAGGTGATATTAAATGCATATTTTGAGAAAACAAAAGCGTTTTTACCTTGCATGCATGTAAACGTATTGTAGGAAACTCCCAAAATAATATCAGGAACCTTAAAAATGGCATAATAGGGGCACTTTAATGCTTTTTTAATTATTGTAGCCCAGTTTGTCCTGAATACATTGTTATTAATATGTTTATAAGCAACTGAAAAAAGCACAAATGTCAGGGCATGTCAAAATTTCTCCAGGGCCCCAAAACACCCTCAGACCCCAGAGGGTTAAGTTTCCTAAAGAGTTATTTCCTAAAGTGTTTGATTCTCACTTTAAACTATCCATTTCAATGACTTATTTCAAAACCATGGTTAAACGATCACTCAAGATCACCCACAAATGTTTGTGAGATCTCTGTGTGACATTGCTTAAAATTTGTATTCCCATTTTTCATATACAGAAGGTTTTGGAGAAGATATGTCATTTTGCTGCATATAAATGAAAATTGTTAAATATTTTTATATCGCTGAAAGAACACTATCTAGAAAAATAGTGTGAAAGCATGTCATCTAACTAGGTTTATAATGCATTTGACTTCTTTTATGTAACATTTTGAATGCCAACATTTCATTTTGATATTCTGAATAGCTGTTTGGTTGAAATAATGGCCTCTAACCTTCTCACCAATTTCAGAGCAATTCCATTTGGTCAACAGTCTTGAAATGTACTCTCGAAGATTTCATGTAAAAGCAGTCATAAAAGCAAACTAGATAAAAGTCCACCTCATTAACCAACTACTGTAGTTGCTTTTTGGATGACTTGACTATCATTCTGGCCCATCTCTAATAACTACAGTACCAAGCAAACATACAGTTCACATGCCTCTCACCAGAGAAGGTCCCTTTGGCCAGACATTCTTTCACTCGATTGGTGCGTCTCACGTGAAAGGCCTTGGTGATCTCCTGATTCATGAAGGCCTCATCGTTCAGGATATTAGCCACCATCATACGCAGGTCAAACACTTCCAGCAGCTCTGCGATGTGGGCCACCTGCATTAGCTCCTTCTCCCGCTCATCTAGTTTACCTGTATACAGGTACCGCAACACCGATCGGAATGGACCGGGCTGCATTGAAGGGTCCATGTGAACAACGGTCATTTTTCTAGGGTTGAAGGTCACGGGGTCATCCACCATTTCTTCTTGGATGCTAATGAAAGCACGACTCAAGGCTGGGAGCAGACGACCGCGACGATCTCCGTCGCCTTTTAGAGTTCCATCACTGGTGCAGGCACGCAAGTTTGCTCTATCTCCATCGTCACTACTTTCACAAACGTCAAAACTAACTGCGCGCATCAGCAATTCGCGGCCAGAAAGCGGTGGCCCTCGGGGTCGTTCTCGCTCCCGTTCGATCTCCTCAGGACCCCGAGGTTCGGTCAAGAAGAGGTCGTAGAACTTGGAGCTAAGATGACATCGGTGCAGAGCGGGTCCTCCAACAGCCGACTAGCGTGCTCTTCGATATTACTGGGAGGGGCAGGAACGGTGATAATGGGTGGAGGGGGTTTTGGGGGAAGGAAGGGGGCTTGGAGGAGTGGCCTTTGAACATTTCGTAAATGTGACTTCCAGAATTGGAGATGACGACGGGAAATGAGGGCTGCTCGGATAGCATTGTCGAAAACGTCCTTAACCCCGAACTGAGCAACTATGCTGGTCTCATAATAACGGACGCCTAGTTCTTTAGCCACCTCACGGCCTTTCTCTGGCGCCAATATCTCATTGGATTTAATGGGTCTGAAACAAAAAAAAAACAGCATTATACTAAAGAACTAGCTTTCCCCACAATGAAAATCTTTATCAGTCATAATTTACTCACCCTCATGACGTTCCCAACGTTCAAAACCAAAAGACTTACCACAGAAGGAAAGTGAATGGGTATGGGTCAGGGGTGTCCAATCCTGCTCCTTGAGGGCCAATGTCCTGCACAGTTTAGCTTTAACCATCTTCAACAAACCTGCCTGGAAGTATCTAATTGCTGCATCTGAAAGCTGAAAATGCTGTATGCGCATCTTGAGGTAGGAAGGCAAGAAGGCACGTCCGAATCCTATGATAGTGTTACATCCTGTCTGCTGAGATATCTTCATCTCATTGATTTTTGAAGGCAGCATATATGTATCCTTTACTGCCTATGATATTCCACAATTCTGTGTGTTCAATTGACCCTTCGCAAAACTGGTTTGGTCTGGTTTGTTTTTCAGACAAAAAAGGCAGCTTCGGCATTATGATTGGTCAGATCGCCCGTCAGATCGCCCGAAACTCCCTGCGAAGCATCAATTCCATGACAGTTGAGCCCAGTTTGTTCACAGATGTATGTTTGTGAACAATTGTTTCAACTTTTGATTTCATTTATAGTGAAAAATATGTATTGTATTAATTAAATATTAACTTAGTTGTGACCAAAGCTTTATATATTTTGTTGGAGATCATTAGACTTTTATGCTGCCTCAAAAGCCTGTCTGAAATCAGTTTTGGGAGATACCTTCATGCACAAATTATATCTGCAAAGTCATTGCTTGAAAGGGCAGAGAGGCAACAAGTCAATTGCCTAAGCTTTCGGGTGCAGCCAGTGAGTCTGAAGACCTGGTTAAGGTGTATTTAATAAGGGTTGGAGCTAAACTCTGCAGCACAGTGGCCCTCCATGAAAGAGCAGGATTAGACACCCCTGGCAAACAGTAAGTGCAGTTGAGCTTCAAATATTACAAGATAGCATCATTAAAATAGCAAAAAATTATTTCATAAATCTCATGCACAATATTATTAAGTTACATGATAGCAGCTTTATGAGGAACAAACTAAAATGTAAGTCATTAATCACTGAAAATCTTCACCTCCACCACTGCTCTCAAATTTCATTCATGTTAATTTAACAAGATACATCACAAAAGTTCAGAACAACATACAAAGAATTGTAATTATTTTACTGTTTTAAAATATTGTTACAGACTTTGTAGACTGTAGAATTGATGGGGACATAGGATGCATTCCACTTCGCCTTTAGACACAAACTCGTGAACTTCCCTAAGCACTTCCCCTTGGAAGAAGCCCGCTGTCATTTTGAAGTGTGTTCCACTTTGTGAAGTGGATGAAGGAAGTTTACATTGACAGACCCTCGATTTTGACCGAGGGAGCAAGTCTACTTCCTATGTATACTATAGACAATTCCATAAACCACAGTGCAACACAACTGTGACATTTAATTTTGACGTTGTGGCGTTTAATGTAAAATGTAATTTACCCCCAACCCAAATAATTCTATGATATATAAATTATTATTTTTAATAATTAAAACACCCCAAGCATAACTATATACACATAGAATGTTGCATTAAACAAATTTGTAAAGGAAAAATGTAAATAATATATTATTATAATAAAACTCCATATCGGGTTCCAAGTGATCAAGGGTTTAGCACGTTCCAATTCAGTCCATTGCAAGGGTTCGGCCAGTAGTGAACACTCGTGCAACTCAATCAGCGACGTACATCCGAGTAAATGAGATGGAGAGAAGTTAACAAGGGAAGGGCATAAAACAACAAAGTGGAATGCAGCCATATATTTAACAGTGTTCCCAAACCCATTCCTTGAGGCACCCCAACACTACACATTTTCAATCTCTATCTAATCGAACACACCTGAATCAACTTACTAGATCATTAGTAAAGACTCTAAGACTTTAAATGGATGAGTCAGATCAGGGAAACATCCAGAATGTGTACTGTTGGGTACCTCAAGGAACAGAGTTGGGAAACACAGGTTTACAACATACAACTGTTGCATTTCTAGCATTAATGGCTACCAACAGTTGCATTTGCCATCTTAATTTACCTGGCCAGTGGCCGGCGAGCTCTGTTCACTGCCTCCAGGTCGGCGTACCGCAGGTCTAGCTGGCAGCCCACTAGGATAACAGGAGCTCTGGGACAGAAATGCTTGATCTCAGGGTACCACATCGTCCTCACATGGTGGAGTGAGTTTGGGTTTGCAATGGAGAAACACAACACCACCACATCAGACCTGTTCGCAAACCAGAGACAACTCATTAACTTATACAGGTTAAAACTGTTTAGTTTTCTTGGTAACCTTTTTAGGGTCACCTTTGACTTCTGCACAATGTAAGCTTTTCAGTGAGTGCAAAGTTTAATCTGATAAAGTTCTGTGGAATATGACATTATATGAGCATTTACTCATCACCATTTTTTATTAGTACAGGTATAAATAAATAACTTCACAAACCTTCACAAAAGTGGAAAAAAAATATGGGAAAAGGGACAACATTAAAAATGAAGAAGAATAAAACTACATAATCATTTATAAATTAGTATAAATATAATTAATCTAGTGTGAAGGAGAGAGGTAATCCAAGTTCCCTTTCAGTCGGTCACTACGAGTCATGTCGTGACCGACGAATTGGGATCTAACTTCGAGAGACCAATCTACTTCGAGTGTAACTAAACGAGCCAATGCACATTGGCATGCAATTATTGCATCCAGCTGCCGCTGATCACAGCGTGAGCATAAAAAGGCAGCCGGTGCAATGCATACCAGGCTTTTCGCTTCGGAGCCGAGCGGCAACATCGTTCTGCTCCATCCAAGTGTCTTCAGTGAGCTACAAGTTCAACGCGGCCATTTCCCCTGTGCGCCTCAGCACTAAAAGAGCATTTCCCTGAAAGAGCAATTTCTCTAAAAGGGTACAATAAGCAGGTGCGTCTTTGTAAAGATGACGGATCGTCTTTTTAAAGATGCCGTTTCACCCGTGCGTTTTTGGATGCAGTCGTTACCTGGCGCTGAGTGATGGTCATGATCGCTGCCTCCCGTGTCTGGGCATTAAACACGCTGAGGTGGCATTCGTGGATGAGTCATGTTCCCATTGCGGGAAGATGACTATCTCGGAGCTGCGGGCCAGGCTCCGTTTCCTCCAGGGGGGCGGAGCTCCGTTGCCTCTGCCGTGATCTAGGGTACGTCCTGGCGGCAGCCAGGCGTGGACTACTTCAGGCAGTAGCACGGGCGGTCTGAGGGTTACAGTGGTGGCAAACCCCTCGGGGGACCATCGCTCCTCTAGCACTTCGCAACCAGCTGAGCCGCTAAAGGAAATGCGCTGGACCCTCTTTAAAGAGCGTACCAGCGGTATCCTTCGGTGCTCCAGTCCCGACGACCGGATGTCGATCACTGCATCGGAGGGAGAGCTCTCTGGAGAAGAAGATTCGCCTGCGCTGCCGCCCTCCGGGACGGTGGCAAGGCCTGAATCGGATCCAGAGATGTCGGCTATGCTTTCCCGGGCCGCCGAAAGGCTAGGGCTCGAGTGGAAACCTCCACCGTGTCCTGGGCCCTCGAGGTTAGATGATTGGTTTCTCGGGGTGGCTCGCGCTGGTTCTCAGCACCCCGCCTCAGTGCCTTACTTCCCGGAGGTGCATGAGGAGCTCACCAGGTCATGGACCTACCCCCTGTTGTGCTGCAAGCGGCCATTTCCCCTGTGCGCCTCAGCACTAAAAGAGCATTTCCCTGAAAGAGCAATTTCTCTAAAAGGGTACAATAAGCAGGTGCGTCTTTGTAAAGATGACGGATCGTCTTTTTAAAGATGCCGTTTCTGGATGCGGTCGTTACCTGGCGCCGGGTGATTGCTGCCTCGTGTGTCTGGGCATTAAGCACGCTGAGGTGGCGTTCGCGGCTGAGTTATGTTCCCATTGCGGGAAGATGACCATCTCAGCTGCGGGCCAGGCTCCGTTTCCTCCAGGGGGGCAGAGCTCCGTTGCCTCTGCCGCGATCTAGTGTTCGTCCTGGCGGCAGCCAGGCGTGGACTACTTCAGGCAGTAGCACGGGCGGTCTGAGGGTTACAGTGGTGGCAAACCCCTCGGGGGACCATCGCTCCTCTAGCACTTCGCAACCAGCTGAGCCGCTAAAGGAAATGCGCTGGACCCTCTTTAAAGAGCGTACCAGCGGTATCCTTCGGTGCTCCAGTCCCGACGACCGGATGTCGATCACTGCATCGGAGGGAGAGCTCTCTGTGGATCCTCCTCCCTCACCACCCTCGACGGTGGTGCAGCTAGGGGTATACAAGGGTCCCCCCGGTGGAGCGGTCGGTTGCGATGCAATTGTGTTGTAATACCGCCTCCACCCGGCAGGGCGAACCGTGCCTCCCCTCTCGGGTCTGTAGGTACTCGTCTGGCGTGTCCGGTGATGCTTATACGGCCTGTGGAGAAGCTGCCTCCGCCTTACACGCTACGGCGTTACTGCAGGTTAAGGCACTGAGGGACCTGCACAAGGGTGGTCGTGATCCGGAAGTTCTGAAAGAGCTCCGAACCGCTACTGACCTCGCGCTCCGAGCGACGAAGGTCACCGCGAGTTCTCTGGGTCGTGCGATGTCCACACTTGTGGTCCAGGAGCGCCATGCCTGGCTGTGTCTGGTTGATATGAGGGACGCCGACAAAGTTCGGTTTTTTAATGCCCCTGTGTCCCAGACCGGCCTCTTCGGCGACGGGTGACCCAGAGAGGGAGGAAGCTGCTCTTTGGGGGATGGTGAAGGCACCTCACCCTCCCCCGGAGGAGGGCCAGGTGGAGAATCTGGAAAATCTCGACGAGAGAGCGGTTTTCTCTATCTCTGGGTCCCAGGAGGGCACGGAGAGTCGCGGACGGCCCAACACCGGACCTCACTCATCCTCCTCCTTAGCCAGCCGGCAGCAGCGGGCGGTTCGAGAGTGTCAACAAAGGCCCTACTCATGCACCCTCTGCCAACCTGTGGAACCAGGTAAGCGTTGCACCGTACACTCAGACCCCTCTCTGGTCCGCTCACAAGCCGCCCGAGTTGGGTCCCTGCGTTCCACCTCGCTGCCCCACTGCGGGTACGGCGGTTGTTCTGTTGGTCCCACTTGCACGGTATCTGGGTGCCTGGCTAGCACTACCCAGCCCATCTCGCTGACTTCTGCGGACCATCAGCCTCGGCTATGCGATTCAGTTCGCCCGGCGTCCCCCCAAGTTCAGCGGCATCCGCTTCACAACATTGAAGCCGATGCTCCTGTCTTGCGTACGGAGATCGCAGTCCTACTGGTGAAGGATGCGATAGAGCCGGTCCCTCCAGCCGATATGAGGACAGGGTTTTACAGCCCTTACTTCATTCTACCCAAGAAAGGTGGTGGATTACGACCAATCTTGGACCTGCGTGTCTTGAAACAGGCCCTTCACCGGTTACCGTTCAAGATGTTGACGCAGAAACGCATCTTCGGGTGCGTCCGTCGCCGAGATTGATTTGCAGCGATCGACCTGAAGGACACGTACATTCATGTGTCGATACTTCCGCACCACAGACCATTTCTGTTGTTTGCGTTCGAAGGACGGGCATACCAGTACAAGGTCCTGCCCTTCGGGCTGTCCCTGTCTCCCCGTGTCTTCACGAAAGTCACGGAGGGGGCTCTTGTTCCCCTCAGGGAGCAGAGTATTCGCATCCTCAACTATTTTGTCGATTGGCTTATACTAGCACAGTCTCGGGTTCAGTTGTGCGAGCACAGGGACCTGGTGCTCCGGCGCCTCAGCCTGTTGGGTCTTCGGGTCAACTGGGAAAAGAGCAAATTTTCCCTGACGCAGAGGATATTTTCTCGGTATGGAGTTGGATTCAGTCGAACAGACAGCACGCCTCTGCCAGCTGACTCCCAGGTAATCCTGAGGCCCCGGCCCGGCTATGTAACCAAGGTTCCCACGACTCCCTTCAGGGAACAGGTGGTGAACCTGCAAGCGCTGTCCCCGGAGGAGGCAGACCCAGCCCTAGCTTTGCTCTTTCCCGTCCGAGCCTTGAGATGCTACGTAGACCGGACACAAAGCTTTAGGACCTCAGACCAGCTCTTTGTCTGTTACGGAGGCCGGCAGAAGGGGAAGGCCGTCTCTAAGCAGAGGATGGCCCACTGGATTGTGGATGCCATCGTCCTGGCCCATCAGGCACAGGGTGTGCCCTGCCCGCTCAGGTTGCGGGCACACTCTACTAGGAGTGTTGCATCCTCCTGGGCGCTGGCTCGTGGTGCCTCGCTGACAGGTATTTGTAGAGCTGCGGGCTGGGCGACCCCCAACACGTTCGCTAGATTCTATAGCCTTCGTGTGGAGCCGGTATCCTCCTGCGGATACTGGCACTGAGAGGCCCCGGTTAGTGTCGGTTTGCTAAAACTGCTTCAGAGTGTCCGTACTGTAGACCCTGTCGAGCTACTCCGTCCCCTCGGCAGCCAGACGTGGCGGAACGTCCGGCGCCAGGCCCTCTCTCGCTGAATCCTTGAGAACCGGTAGAGGGCTGGGTTTCATATGTAGAGACCTAAGCGGATCCCATATGTGTAAAGTCCATGGTATAGCCTCAGAGCCCATGTTTCCCCGGCAGACTTCTGCCATTTCCAAGAGGGTTATAATCACCTCCCAATTTCCCATATGCACCTAAACGGATGTTCGTATGTGTATTTGCTTCCGAAACCTCCTTCGGGAAGGATGGGGCTTCCGCAACGTCCCTGTTCCAAGTAGAACAGGTACGTTTGCCCAGTGTTATCCAATCTCACTGAGTGGGTAGTGCTACGACAACGGTGAATGGTCTTCTTGTTGCGAGCCCCGGCCTACACCGAAAAGGGGCGCAGGTGGCTCGCACAGGGCATGGGAAGGGGCAGCATCCATGGCGCTTTGGTAGGGAATCCCAATTCGTCGGTCACGACGTGACTCGTAGTGACCGATTGAAAGGGAACGTCTCGGTTACGTATGTAACCCTCGTTCCCTGAAGGAGGGAACGGAGACGTCACGTCCCGTCGCCATGGCTGCTGCTGTCATGGCGTCACCGGCTCGGCTCCTCAGCGAAAACCTGGTATGCATTGCACCGGCTGCCTTTTTATGCTCACGCTGTGATCAGCGGCAGCTGGATGCAATAATTTTATGTCAATGTGCATTGGCTCGTTTAGTTACACTCGAAGTAGATTGGTCTCTCGAAGCGAGATCCCAATTCGTCGGTCACGACGTGACGTCTCCGTCAGGGAACGAGAGTTACATATGTAACCGAGACGTTCACCTGCCATACGCAAATCTGCGGTCCTTGTGATGGTCACCGAAAGTGTCCCAGAGACGCAAGGACACACTGACATCATCCACCACATCCCTGGACCTTTCTAGAACCTGGCCGGAGAGACACACCTATCACATGCATGGAGATTTACCCGAGAAACTGCGTATGACATATTTTTCAATATTTTATCAGATTACTTATCAGGGAAATTATCGAAAGTAGCTACCATCACACGTTGCATCGTAATTTCTTTCATATACTTATTTTATGAATAAGAATATGGCAGCAGGCATTCCTCACCTCCTGGCAGACTCTGTACTGATCTATTGCCCAGACAGTGGGCACATGTGTGGCAAGTAGCTGGTATTGTGTAAGCGTTGCGTTACAGGCCCGGGCACAGATAAGACGGGTCTTTCCAACTGCATTGTCTCCAACCACCACACACTTGATAGTCTCGACATTTGGCCTCTCATAGTCCATGTCAGAATCC